GCACGAGCTATGGTCTGCCGACCTTAACGCGGGGGCGACCGCCGCACGGCTGCTGCCTAGATGGCGATGAGAAACCCCGCCGCGCTGCCTCGCGCAGTCAAGGGGGTCGTTATCTCATTGATGCGGGTGCTTGGCTGTGGGAAGACCGCCGGCCCGCCTGCCCTGAGCACATCGTCGGCGGGAATCCCGGCGGCCGTTGCCCTGGGCCGCGGCTGGGTGCGGCTTGCCTCACCCGCGTGGAAGAAGCCGTGCTTGAGGATTTGGATCAGGTACGCCTCAGTGGCCCTCCGCGCCACCACGGCGACGTCGAGGCCGCGCGCCTCAAGCCGCGCCTTGTCGCTGACCTTGACGCCTGCAAGTGAGTCGAGGGGGCGGGGAGGTGGGTGGTGATGGGGCCCCAGGAGGGGTGCTGACGAGGGGCTGAGGAAGTGCTGCAGCATTCCAAGGTGGTGGGAGATGGGTGGCAGAAGCAGCGGGGAGGGGGGCAACAGTGGGGGGAGGGGTTGCTGCTCTTGTAATGTGGTGCCAGGTACTCAGGGCTGGGGACGTGGGCATGGCCAGCAACGGCTTGGTGCTCTTGTCGACCCCAGCCTGTCTCATCCAACACTTCTCTGTTGCTTCCTCCCTCTATCTCCCACCCACACCGCATGGTGTTCGGCAAGGGAACTTGCTCAAACGCCCGCCTGTGCACAAGTCAAAGCCTTGCACTGTAGGCACCGCACCTGGCAGGTACTCCAGCGTGAGGACGCGGCTGCTGCAGTACTGCCAGTGCACCACAGGCACGCGCACCCAGTCAGTGCCGCGGAAGTTGCGACGGAACCTGCGAAACGCGCCGCGGCCGGGTATTGTGCACACGTGGCAGGTTTGTGCCGAGTGACAACGGAGTGCTGGACTCACCCGTCATGGAAAGATCATTGCCCCTGGTTCCCCACTGCTGAGCAGGCTTCCATTGACGGGCTAGTGTGCACTGTCTGCAACAGGAGCGCGACGGGGGTACAGGGTGGGGTCCATGCGTGCTGTGGTCAGCGCTGCTTACAGGCTGCGCAGTCGCCGCGCCGCGCCGCACCTGTCTGCGTTGCGTCCCTCGTTGATGTAGTCAATCTCCTCATACAGCACGGACGCGCACTCCTCGTACATACCCTGGGGGTTGGGGCGAAGAGCGTGCGGTGTGGGCCAGAGTCGGATAGGGGCCAATTTAGGGGGTGCTGCACAACCCACAGGGATGAGACTGTGCAGCATTGGTGGAGTTCCGTGCCGCGGCATAGAGAACGAGCTGTGGGTTGCCCTTTGTGGGTGGCTGCCGAAGGGCTTGGTGCGGAGCCCCAAAAACAAACATCCGCGGCACTAGTAGACATACGCACCACAGCACACCGAAACTTGTGTGCCAACGCAAGCACAGACTACTCATGCCAAAGCGCGAAAACACACACGCACACGCACACACACAGACACACAAACACACTCTCACTCCTTTACAAACACACCTATACACACACACAAGACACAACTTGTCACCCCTCGTCCGCACCTTGAAGTCCCTGTTCTCGTCCCCCTTGTCCAGCTGCTCTGCCAGCAGCTTGAGGTTCTCCAGGTCAATGTCAAACAGCTGCTTCAGGCCGGGGCGCTGCACCTTCACCACGACCTGCGGTGTCATGCAGGATAGGGGGGCAATAATGCCGTGGTGATGAGTCGGCATTTTTGGTTGAATCATGACACTCACCACAACAGGTGTGCGACCTGACCTTTTTGAGATGATTTAGGCGGCAATGTTGAGTCAAATCGGGGCAGGAAAAGAGCCTTGTGAACAACACGCGGACAGGCAGTTTGCGCGTCGCGGCCTGCCCAGCAGGGGCCCCAAACCACCTCGCACGGGCTGCCCGGTCGTCTCACCTCCAGGCCGCTGTGCAGCACCGCGCGGTGCACCTGCCCAAGGCTCGCCGCCGCGATCGGCCGCCTGTCGAACTCGCGGAACAGCACGCCGATCGGCTGCCCCAGGTCCTTCTCAATAATGGCTATCGCCTTGTCGGCGCTGAACGCGGGCACCCTGTCCTGCAGCTTGGCCAACTCCTCCACAAAGGCGGCCGGGAACAGGTCGGAGCGCGTGCTGCTGAGCTGGCCGATCTGGGGGCATATGGGTGGGTGCGGGGCGGGGGGGAGGGGGGGTTGCCAGAAAGGGAGGAGGGTGAGTGGAACGTGGGTGCCGCCCACTGTAGCCATGCGCATGATGGGGTGTGCGGGTGCGTGGATGAATGTGAGGTGAGCGGCCGTGCATGGGTGGCAGGCCGCAAAATCACGCTTTTTCGGGCCCGAGCGCGTGCTCAACAGGTCACAGCGCTCTCTGCCAAAGGCCCTCGCCGCACACCGGCCGGCCAGCCCTGCTTTTTGTCTCTGCGGACGGCGCTGCAAGCAGCAGCGTATGCCAACTGTTGAGCGACCAGGACACAGCACGCAAACGTTTGCCCCCGCCTTGCCTTGATGAAGGTGGGCCCCAGGTCCAGGATCGATTGCACGAGGTACCGCGCCAGACCCTTGGCCCGCTCGTTCTTCTTCTCCTCTGCGTGGGCAGGCCGCAAGGGGCGGTCGCCAGCGGTTAGACGTGAAGCGCATGCGCCATGCAGCGCCAGCGAAAGCGTTTTTGCACTTGGCTCCTCGCGTCGCGAAGCCGCGGCATTGGCCGAACGCATGAAAGCGGCTGCCCTTGCGTGCAAGGTGCCGGGTGTACAGTGGCAGAAGTCTCCCTTCCTCATGCTCCCCTCCTCTCCCACACACACCCCCCCCACACACACACACACTCCTCGTCCCCGCCCGACGGTCCCACGTGGCCCCCACCTGTGAAGCCGCCGGGGTATGACCACTTCTGGTCCAGCAGGGCGAGACGCGTGCGGAAGATGGCGAAAAACACCCAGGTGTCGACGGTCCTGTGGCGGCGAGGGCCGCGCGTTGGAGGCGGATGTGACGGCAAAGAACAGAACAAGGACAGGGTGGCATGCGTGTGAACGCAGGGGACGGGAGCTGGGTGATGGAAAACTGCAGATGCGGCCGCGGCAGAGCGTGCGAAGGGCGAGCTCTGCGGGTAGGTGCCAGTCGTGGCACTCAAAGGCCAGCCGTGTGGATTTGTGTGCCCACCGCTGCGTCTTGTTGTAGGAGTCCTTCGCCCACTGCAGGGGAACGGCGGGCAGCGGCGGGGGCGGGGTCGGTTGCAGCAGCAGGACCTCAGTCAGGCGAAGCAACCGGGGATCAGCCATGCACGGGTGGCATGCAACGTCAGCCCTGCAGTGCAGACAAGCCCCACAGCCGGGCGGTCAAACCCTGTGTTGACCGCCCCTTCCAGCGTGCGACACCACACCTTGAAGTCCGTGTCCAGCGGGAGAGCATCAACCTGAGGGTTGGGCGCAGAGGCAGCGGCAGACAAAAGCATGTCCGGGAATCCCAGGGTCGCGAGTTTTGCACCGTGCATGTCTTTGGCAGCTTGCAGGACATGCGGCCGGCGGGCACGACCGCGGCGAACGCAGCGCCTTGCTCCACCCCCCCCCCTCCCCAAAAGCCGGGGCGCCGTCAACGCAACCGCGCCCTACCAAAGAGGCAGCGCCCGCACGCATGGCTTGCCGCCCGCTGCACGCGTCAGTGACTCGCCCTCAGCTATCTGCCTCACGTTTTAGCATGTGCATGCCCCCACCACCAGGGTACGAACCCCCCCTGTGCCCTGTTTTTCCAAGAGGCGCAGCTGGAGCGTCTGCCGCCCTCAAGCTGCCCTGCCCACCTCCACATCGATGGTCGCGTCCGCCCTGGCCCGCGCTATCGCCGCCGCCTCCGACGCCGCGACAGCCACCATCTGCGACCCATTGATCGGCACGCGCGCCAGCACCACGCCGTTCCCGTTGCCGTTGCCGTTGCCGTTTCCATTGGCGAAGCCACTGCCGCCGCCGGCAGTCCAGCCGGTGCCGCTGAGGGAGGTGCTGGCGCTGTCAGAGGGGTCGAGCGTCCTCATGGGTATGCCACGCCCAACGCTGCCGTTGGCGCCGGCGGTCGGCGCCTGCGTGGCCTGGCGCGCCTCGAGGGCGGGCAGGCCCCGGGGTGCGCGGCTGAGGGCGGCGGCGCGGCCGCGGGCCGGGCTTGCGGCCAGGCTGCGGGCGCGGAGTGCGTCGAAGGCAGGTGCTCAATTGCATGCAGGAAGCTGAGTGCACTGTGCCCAAGGTGTTCATGGGGTGTGCCGCAGGTGTGGGCCCGCCATGGCGAGGCAATGCGCCAGGCACCACCACTCGCCGCGTCGGCGCTGCCACTTGCGTGGGTGCATGTTTTCGCCCCAGCCTCTCCTTGATGCACACCTCTGGGACTTCATCCGCCACATGCTGAACCTGGTCGTCGTTTCCGCGAGGCTGGGGCAGTCACCCCGGTGGCGGGGCACCCACGAGAGCGATCGATTTGTAGCTCGCGGGACACTAGGCAGGTGCATACAAAGTTTGAACCAAATGCATGTATGGCGCCGCTGACGCAATCCAATTGAGCAAAGGCCTCGGGTGAGGACGCATGCCCCTTCGCCCCAGGATCGATCCAGCGCTAGACAAGGTCACTCGTCCGTTGACAGGCAGTAACGAGCCGCTTGAATCCTTCCCACCCACAACACGCTCTGACCGCGGGGTACACACGCTCGGGTCCTTCGCCCCCGTAGACGCGTCGATCTTGGTCAACGCAGGTGCTGCGCTCGGCGTGCAGGGGCGAGTGCCGCACCCCGCTTGCTGCACCGCGATCGCAATGCCCGCTGCCGCGTATCTGAAGCCACATACCACCTCGGCAGCCTCGACGCTGCGGCACTCATGACGCCCGCAACAGCTCTGCGTCGCACGCGCACGCGCACATTGCTTCCTAGGCGCATGCTTCCAGCGCGGGCGGCGGCGCAAGCAGGCAGAGGCGCGCAGCAGCCAGTTCAACACCGCAAGGCAGGCTGGACTTGTGCCGGCCTGTCCTCCTTTAGGGGTGGACAGCCCCGGCAGCAATGGTCGCGCCCTGTACGTTCAGGTGGCAACACGGTTACACATGGCAGGGCGGGGAGCCCCGCGTGCAGAGCCTGTGCTAGCTCATAAAAGGGCTCTTGATGCCGAGGCCGCCCGCCAGCCCCCGCAGCGCCTCCACCGCCGCGCGGCCCGCGGCTATGTGGGGCTCGTCCTTCTCCACGTCCAGAATCTGGGCGGGCAGCCCTTGCTGCAGCTTGCCGACGACCTGCAGGGGACAACAAGGCCCAGGGTGCCGTGCGCAGGGCAGGCGGGCGGCCGCGGCAGGGGGTTTTGAGGGGGCGGCCGTGCAGGGCTTGGAGGAGGGTCGGGGCCCAGGGCGGGGTAACAGGCGGGTTGTACACGGCGTAGCAGGTGAGGCGAGTGACCTGGAGTTGTGGACTCGAGGGCAAATAATCAAGCTGTGAGAAATGAACAGTACGTGATTGCAGAAACAGAGTGGGGGCGCCGTGGTCAGGACGCAGCAGGGCGTCGCGTCGGGCCCACAGGCGCACCAGGTTTGCGGCAATCAGGCCGGTGACGTAGGCGCGCTCCTGGGGGATGTGAGGGGACGACGGGCGGAATTTTTCAGACGAGCACGAATTGCAGGCGGTGCAGGTGTGCAGCAAAAGTAAAACCTCTTCATGCACAACTGTTTTGCACCCAGGTACGCACAAGCGCATGAGCGTGCTCTCGCCAATATGTAGGCGTACAAACACACACACTCTCTCTCTCTCTCTCTCTCTCTCTTATACACACACGCGCGCGCACATACGCGCACACATCCTTATTCACCCACCTGCGAGAGACCGTTTGCCCCATGGTCGACGCCCTTGACCCAGTCCCCCGCCAGGAACAGGTTTGGTATGCTGGTGGACTGGAACGGCCGGCTGCTGTGGGACCCCGGGCTGAAGTGCGTGACGGCCTGCGCAAAAGGGCAGCGCGTGCACGGGAGATGGGCGTGTGTGAGGACACAAAGCTTAATCAGGGCTTGGCTGATTTGTATCTTCCCATGTCATTCCATGCCACTCTCCCTGGGCAGAGCGCGAGTTTCGTGCTAGGGCAGGGCCGCGTCGGTGAGCAAGCAACCTCGCAACCATGTTTTGCAATGAAGGGGCGGCAGCCAACCACCCAGGCCTGGCGGCGCAACGCGCCTGTCTGAACCGCAGCACCGCGCTGTCCACCACGTTGGCGCCCTTGAAGCCCGGCTCGCACACTCGGATGTGGTCCACCAGCCGCTGCACAATCTGGTCGTCGCTCAGGGGCAGCAGCTCTGACGCGCCGTAAAAGTCGGCGGTCAGGACGCTGCCTGGCGCGTCCCGGTACTCGTCCTGGAGGGGAGGGGAACGATCACGGGTGTGCAGGGTGAAGCGTCCGAGACTGTGCGAAGATTTGCTGGTAGATCAGGGTTTTGGGGGACGCAACGTTGAGTGGATGGCTGTGCACATGAGCACGGACGCGCAGCGCAGGTGAGGTGCTGGTTGGGTACAGTGAGGACCAGCCCAGACGAGTGCAGCCGCTTTCAGCAACAGACGACCAGACTTCACGTGCAGAAACCCGCAAACGCCGGCTGGTCAATGCCAACCTTAACAAGCCAGACAGCATGTGTCTGCTATCTGCCAGCACCCCAAGTCAAGCTGCCGTGACCCAACCAATCAAATTATTCTTGGTCCATCAAAGCTTGGGATGCCAAGACACAGCAAAGCGCACGCCCGCACCTGGAGGGCGTTCAGGTCAAAGAAGGTGGCCCCAGCGGTCCTGGGAAAGTTGGTGGGTGGCCGATGCGGTACGATTGGCTGATACCATTTACTGGGTTGCTGGGAAGCTTGGATACGGCAAATGGTAGGCTGGGGACAGTAATGCTTTGAGCGGCCCGCCCTGATGAGCCGGGCAACGCCACCAGGCCAATCCTAGAGCAGCTGTGCTTGTCTGCAACGAGTGGGGGCGGCTCGTCCCTGGCAACAGGCGCAGCACCCAGGAGAAGCAACGGCGACAGACATCGCGCAGCGACCCGGCGCTCGCACTGCCTGCACAAAAAAGTCTTTCTCGCAGGGTGTTGGCACAGCAGGGCGCGGCCGCACCTCTCAAAGCCGGCCAGGACGTTTGCAGGGTACTTGCAGGGGACCTTCTTGTCAAACCACAGCCGCGTGGCGATCACGTCGATCGCCCTCAAGTTCATGACCGCACGCAGTTCCGGGCGCGACCCCAGGGCCGGGCAGCTGCCCACCAGCTTCTGGAAGCCTGGGGTTGGGGTGGGGTTCCAAGACGGTTGGAAGGGTCGCAGAATGGTCGTGGCGGTCAGGTGGGATGCGGCTGGACACGAGGTGGGGCCTGGTCCCGCCCCCGCCCATGAAGCAGAAACGCAGTGCTGATGCCGGCACTAGGGAAGACCGCAGCATCCACACGAGCGGCAGCACGCCACAATCCTCCCACGCTACCCCTTAAGTCGCCTCCTCCCATCCTCAACCTCCCCCTTCCCTGACCCCTCCCCTGACCCCTCCCCCGCCCTTGACC